AGAAAATCCACTCTGAATGTAAAACTAAATAAATTGCTGAACACTCCTGACACATGAAAATGTAAAGCCTGCAGCACACAACAAATGTGGAAAATTATTAGATATCATATTTAACAAATAGTTTACTATGTATTCTATGTACTTTTGCTCACTTGGATTAATAAATATTAATTTGATGATGTCATTACTCTGTTGTGCAGTCAGCCAGTCGTTGCATTGCTGATTTTCGATAGATCTGTCCTTCACAACACACACATCAATCTTAGATCAGTTTATCCAGATTTTTTTTTCTGATTCGCAAACTTGTTTGAAGAACCAAATTAGCCAGAGATCACCAAGATTAAACGATCCATGATCTACCACAGATCATTTAGATTAGTTAAGTGAGGTACGGAGAATGGACCTCTGAGCTCCATTTACAACAACATCATGTACAATATTGCCGTTACCTTTGTTTTGTTTCACAAAAAAGTCAGAAATACTGATAGTTTATTAGTTTCTGCTGAGGTGTATAGAGTGACATTATGGTAAAATCATCTGACATGTAGAATATATATAAGCAATGCATGTGGTGTGTTTCCACATGCTTTATTCATTACTGTTTGTGTGTACTGTTGAGTGTGAGAATCTCATAAGGGATTTCAAAGCACTGCGAATACTGCAAGCACTTTGGCAAACTTTGGTATCTGGGAAAGTTTGTGTCTGGAATATCTGGCCCAACTTTAGAGAGATTCTGTTTTTCCCCAAGTCATATAAAACAGACTGGTGGGATTTTGAATCCAGTAGTAGAGTGGTTTCTCTTTCAGACTGTTCGTTTTATTTTGAACATGTTCACATATCCAGATTTGATTATAAAACTGGAAGTGGGTAAAACATTTAAATGAGCAGTTGAACATTTATTTAGTTGTTAAAGTTTATGACACTGTGGTATTAACTTTACTATAAAGTGTTAGCATGGGAAGATTATGCTTTCCTTTAGCAAATACTGTTTAACCATTTATTCAGATGCCATAATAAAAAGTCGAACAACTTACACAAGTCAAAATAAATGTCACACAACTTTTAGCTGTTTTTTCCCCTTTATTATAAAAAAGTTAAGTGTTCTAGTGTCTTGTAACATTAAGTATTAAAACTGCAGATTCAGAAAAATCTGAAAAACTTATTGCAAGTCATTGCATGGTTAAGTAGCATACGGAAACTCATACTTTATTTGCTTGCAAGTGAATAGGCCTATGTCAATGATTATTCTTTACATAAGAGGAGTAATACACCACAATCTACAACCATGAATGGATATGACACTTTAAAGTAAGACATAATTAAAAAAATAAATGTTGTGTAAAAAATTGTCATAAATCATTTGATAAAAGGTGACAAAGCATCAACATTATATGAACATTATGCGAAGCCATTCTAAGGACAAAAATGTAAAAAAAAAAAAAATGTGATTATGACAGAAAAGTGAAAAGTAAATGATTAAAATGTTAAGGAGAATGATTGGCTTGTAGTTATGGCCATAATGTAAATATTTCACAATTTGATTTGACTTATTTCAAAACTTTTAACAGTTATGACTTATTTTCTTTTCTTTCTTGTTTGCCAGAAATGTACATCCACCTGATTTATAATAGAGGACTGGATAGCTCATGACTTAACTGCATATCCATATTGGCATCCCTAATTATGATTCGGCATTGGATATAATAAATAGAATATTATATGATTTAAATGAGAAAACATTGTCAAACAAGCCACATATTTGCATCTGTAAACTTCATGTGTACTGTCCGACTTACAGAAATGTTCTAAACATGAAATTGTTATTTATTTGGGATTGAGAAACATTTCATAACAATACCAACTAAATACAGGGCCAGTATAGCACACATGTGTGTATGTGTGTAAGTGTGTGTGTGTGTGTGTGTGTGTGTGTGTGTGTGTGTGTGTGTGTGCGTGCATGTGTGCGTGTGTGTTTGAGAAAAATGCTTTTTTCCCTATTTTATTTCCCTAAAAAGTATTTCTGAGGATACATATGAGCATTCAAGTGTTTATAAACATGAACAAATAAAGATAGAATAAAATGCTTATTTTTATGCAAATTCTCTATTTCGATATGTAATATGGTCATATTCCTATCAGAAAATCGTCTAAGGAAAACCTTCAAAATCTTCAAATATAAAAAATCTAATTGACATCCAAACTTCAGAGTTTTGGGTTAAAAAAAAGAGTCTAATAATAGTCCAAAATATACTATCAAATAGACAAACTAGACAGACTTCCCATTTTTTCCTGTCTATTTAATGACTAGTCAATTTTCATTTTTCACTGACAATCCAAATTTAGCCTTGTTTTTAGGATGTCTATGTATGTATGTCTATTGGAAGTTTTTATGCACACAAAAATGTTTGCTAGAGCATCTTAAATGCTTAACTAGGGCAGCTCCTCTGGGCCTCCAGTGACCTTCAACACGGCAACAGTGATTCTGACAGTGCTACCAAACAGGAGCAATTATGACAAGCATGAGAAAACAGCCCACTATAGCAGGCCACTACTAATATGATTTAACCAGATATGAGTTTGTTTCACTGTACAAATTTACGCTTGTAAGAAGACTAAAATGTAAAATTTTAAAGTAATATATATATATATATATATATATATATATATATATATATATATATATATATATATATATATATATATATATATATATATAATGTATGTATATATATATCACTTATTTTTTTTTGGGACATATTTTTTCCTCAGCAATTTATTTTCTTTTACAACAACTATCAGTAATAAATTGCTGGGGAAAAAATATAAAATATGAATAAAGCATATTTCTGAACACATTGGTGCTGTGTTTGGGCTACATTTTTGGCCAGAACACTGACCTACTGAGCATTCATTATAACATACTGTAAATAATATTTTTGTTCTGATAAATTCATTCTGGTTACAAAGTCACATTTACCACCTGTACTTTTTTTTGTGGGTTTGACCAATGTGCCTCATAGTCTGGATGCCCTCAGACCACCCTTACTTTGCTAACACTATAAAATTTAAATGTTAGGTGGAGTGCAAATGAATGGCTCTTTTTTTGTTATTTATATTTCAAACCTCAAATGTTTCTCTAGAATGTTCCTTTTAGAAACAAACTATATTAAAGAATAGTATTTAAATTAATTGTTCAGTGTGATTTAAGAAGATTCATGGATGTCAGTTTACAAGTATTGGCGCAATTGTTTACACTTAACATTGGCTTAGAGAGGGAGAGTGTGTAAAGTGTATTTTTTCCTCAAATTGTTTTTATTTATTTAAAATGGCAGAATAAAACATTACTCAAACATATCAATTATCATCAGTTTTACATGCAGTCCTGTGCAAATTTGTGCTACTGTTTCTATACACTGTAAAACCTAATCAGTTCAGAGCGATCACATTTTTGTGGTAATCAATTAACTAGTCAGAATTATTAGCCCCCCTTTGAATTTTGTTTTCTTGTTTAAATATTTCCCAAATGATGTTTAACAGAGCAAGGACATTTGTCTACAAAACAAATCATCTTTATAAAATAACTTGCCTAATTACCCTAACTTGCCTAGTTAACCTATTTAACCTTTTAAGCCTTTAAATGTCACTATAAGCTGTAAAGAAGTGTCTTCAAAAATATCTAGTTAAATATTATTTCCTGTTATCATGGCAAAGATAAAATAAATCAGCAACTAGAAAATATTCTCTCTATTAAACTGAAATTGGGAAAAAATAAAAATAAAGAGGGGAGCTAATACTTCAGGGGCCTAATAATTCTGACCGCAACTGTGTATATATATATATATATATATATATATATATATATATATATATATACATGCACTTAAACTTTAATGATACCAAAATCTTACAGTAGGGTTTAATATGCAATTGTCTCACCCTTTTAACATTTAACAGATTTTCACAAGGTTTAGGGGTATGTTCATGGTATTTATTATTATTATTTTTTTTTTAATAATTAGACATTCAATGATTAGACATTCTTCTAATCTAGAATATGAGGTCAGGGCTCGATGTTGGATGAGAAGGCCTGGCTTGCAGTCACATCTCTAATCAAAGAGGTTTTCGAAATTGTGTTCTATCAGGTTGAGGTCAGGACCAGTCAGGTTGCTCCACAGCAAGCTCACTTATCCCTGTTTTTATAGACCTTGCTTTGCACTGGTGCGCAGTCAAATTTGAACAGAAAGGGGACATCTCCAAGCTGTTCTTACAAAGTTGGGAGCTTAAATTGTCACCATAATCACCCAAACTTTACACTTTGCACAATGTAATCAATGTAAGGCAACAGAAAGTTTCAATTCTTGTCTGTAGATGTCTGTAGCTTCTGGCTGCAGAAAGTTTGGTGACGTCTGCACATTGTGCATCTCAGCTTGTGTTGACCTAGCTCTAACCTTAAATGGCCTATTACTTCATGGCTGAGCTGCTGTTTTTCCCAATTGCTTTCACTTAGTTATAATACCATTAACAGTTGACTATGGAATACCTTGTAGTGTAGAAATTTCATGAAAGGTCTTAATGTACAGATGGCAGCCTATCACAGTACCATGCTTGAGTTATGGCGCTCCTGAGAGCAATACATTATTCACAAGTGTGGTCATGGATGGACGTGTGTCTGTGTATGTACTGTATATATGTACAGTATGTATGTATGTATGTATGTATGTATGTATGTATGTATGTATGTATGTATGTATGTATGTATGCATGTATTTGCTTCCTAAACATGAACTTATCTTGACAAACTACATATGATACATTATAAACAATCATTTTTAAGTCTGTACTCAAAATAAACTCAAAAAGGGTTACAGTTAAGCGATTCATTTTTGTAGATCGCCTGAAGGACTTCTCATCACTATCTGCATTTTTGTTGCAATGTACAAAATCTAGCTCCATATTCAATGCTGACTATTAATATTCTGATCTCTTATTTATTTCTCTAGCTCTAAAACGCTCATTTGAAGTGGAGGATGTGGATTCTTCATCACATTCTTCCTCACCTCACACACGCCGAGCACCGTCTAATGTTCAGCGTTCAGCCATGTCCCCTACCAGTGGACGGTATTATGAATTAGGTTCCAATGGTACCAAGCCTTCTGACACCTCGAGGCCCAAAGCTCGAACTCCCGAACCTGTGCCACGTAGGACAGAGCTGTGCTTTGACATTGCATCCAACAACAACGGAAAAGCTATTGAAGGCTCTCCAAGGTAAAAACACGTAACAATGATTGCAATGTTTACATCATTGTCAGTTATTAGATTATATTGACGAAACCAAAATTGCTTTCTGTGGCATATTTTAGCCATTCCAGTTGCGTGGTCCTGCTGTAAGCAATTCTGTTAAGATTGGTAGCTAAATAAGCAGGTTCACTGAGAGAATAAAATAAAACTAATTTTAGTATTTGTGTAAATTTAAAACACTGATTTGCAAAAATGCTTTGTGCACTGGTGGCAGAAGCAAAAAAAAAAAGGTGTTTCCTCAACCAGGAAATATTATATTGGAGTAGAATAAATGCCATTTCTCGAATTTTTGTGCTTTTTAATGAAATAATCACTGTTTGCCCTTCCCTCAGGGAGGGTAAATGTGAGTGGGTACAATTTTATTGATCTTAAAAAGTGGGTGGGTCCTGTCTCTACCACATACAATGGTTCCAACACTCATGCAATATTTTTTCAAGATTTATAGAACCAGTCAAGAATAAACTCTAATATTGATTCAGGATTATTTAGATTCAAATAGACATTATACAGCAGTTAGCCTCTTTTTGCATGTTGTAAATGAGTCATTTAATAATTCACTTAAGAATGGGTGTTGTTAAATAGTTTTAAGACAATTTTGATGAAAGGTGATGATCCACTTCAAATGTTGTCTACTGTATATGACTGCACAAGTGTACAAATTGTACTGTACCATTTAGTACAGTACAATACAGTACAGTATGGGTATGGAATTATTTAAATTTCTACTTTAAGATGTACTTAAATAGCGAACAGTACCGCATCTTTTTTTGTGACTTTCAGATGGGTACTCAGCACCATAAAATGGTTGAGCTAGACTCACTGCAGACACTGATTGGTTTACAGATAATCTTTACTTGTGTATGCTAAAAGTAGAAAAACAAAATTGATGTGCCATTTTTTAAATATTCGTCTGCAACATAACATCATAATAATACTTTACAATTACAGTGCACATCAATTAACTTTGGTCAACCTAAAGTATTCTTACAAACAGCCCATTACAATAATTAGGAAGGAACCTGTTGTAAATCTATAATTATTAAAGGTCATTAACATGTCTTACCTAAAAATTAGTGGAAAGCATGAGGTGTGCCTCTTCCTCTTTCTCTATTTCTCTATTAGTGCATGCATCTACATTTAAAATAACAAACTTAATCCCTCTGTTGTCTTAGAAATCTGTTTTCGAATGGTAAAATTGTATATATCATTGTACAACCATTGTGGCCTAAATTTGTACAGCCTCCATGACAATATTAAAGTAGAAAATTATATATTTTTTATAATGTTAACAAGGTAATTGTTGAAAATATTACCAAATTTAGCTTTTTTAAAACTTTTTTTCTGCTGTTAAAATGGTGGATGGGACATTTTTGACCCATAATCAACAGGAGAGTTAAGTGTACATAAGATAAAAATGTGGTAATGAAACCTATGTTTTTTCTTCTTTGAGCAAAATTAACTTTGATCGCTATACTTTCCAGCTTATCATGTGATATCGATTACAACCTTCTGGCATACACCACCCCTACCAACAATTGGTAGGCTACAATTGGCAGAGGAAGCATAAATCAGGGTTGCACATACCAAATTGTACTGTGCTGTACTATACTGAATTGTACTGCTACAAAGATGAAGGGTAAATTAAATTAACTGGAAAAAAAATGTTGTTCTGTACTAGTCCAGGCACATCTCGGTTTGGGCTGAAGAGGCCAGATGTCTTGGGCCACAGTAAGACACCTGAAACCCAGAAGCACTCAGTGACCTTCAGCAAGACACTAGAGACTATTGCTCCCATCACACGTGCAGCATCTACCATTGTTCCCCATGCCAGTTCTAAACTCCCAGAGACCACCTTTAGGAAGAGTGAGCCACCAAGCCCTGGGGATGGATCAGCAAGAAAACCTGAAATTACTATCTCCAAAACATCAGACGCCAGAAGTCATGAGAGTCTTCACCATCCACCAGTTACAACCAGGTGCCCATCACCTAATCACGTTGGACGGAAATCTCCTGGATCTGATGGCCATAGTAAGTACAGTCTAATTTTATCATTTTTTTCTCAGAAGAAGAAAGAAATCTTAATTGTCAACTGTGACTGGTCATTTGTGTTCTGATAAAAAAAAAACACAAAATATTTCCAAAGACATTCAATATATATTGTTTTAAACAGAACTTATACAAATTGGTTGGGTGGGTTTGGGGTTTGTCCCTCGTGCCCTACATTATGGTTAGATCCTATTATCATTAACCTCATCTTTTTCTTTCCGTGATATTTAGAAACTGTCACCTGTAAATGCCTGCCATTACTGCCTTTCAGTCTTCTGCTTTGTCTAATCTTGGATTTCTAGGCCTCATCCTACTTAGCTAGAGCACATAGTCTTTCTTCTGTGTGTTTGATCTCAGCTGGGCACTGAACGTAGACTGACTCTTATATCTTGAATAAGTTTTGAACATGACCTTCAATGAAATTATTAAGATGCAAATAAGCCATAAGTGGAAGAAGACAAATGTTTCCTTCCTTGTCTGGACTGAAGCCTTTCAGTCCAACTGTGCTTCAGACAGCCTTCATACTGAGATGTAAACATAGTGTGGTAACCCCGATCACAAAGAACCTGAGGCAGAGAACAACAGTGCTTAATGTGAAAGGAAGCAGTCAAATTTAAGTTAGGACAGCTGTGGAATATTTCCAAATTATAATGCCAATTGTAGCTGAAACTAAAAAACATCCACAGGCTGTTTATGTCAGATTTCATTTAAAGTTTAAAATTGTTATAATGATGGCTGGTGTTTATTTTAAGACAATTAAATGTGATGGATATGCTGTCAGCTTTATTTATATTTGGTATAAATATAATGAATGAGGAGAGCTTTAATTTTTTTCTTCCAAATTTAAGCCGACAAACATTTTTATGGAAGGTGGAAGTAAAGTTAAGGCTTAGAATTAGCTCATGTTTTAGTAGAGGTTACAACAGGTGCACAACCTACAATTAGCTTACCATGTCTATTATGTAATTTGCAGTCTGAAACTCTGCCTTTGTGGTTGTAATATGGGTATGATGTCAGAGCAGCTCACATGGAGGTCACTGAAATATAAAAAACTATTAAATAATTAAGGAACCATACATACAGTATGCCCATTATAAAGGTGATGCTGTATTGTTGTGGAGCAATTTAAAAGTTAGCATCCCCCGCACCTGATTGCCTTAACAAAATTTCAACCAGATTGTGTAATTGTTTTTTTTTTTTTCGACATGAGATTCATGCATTACAGAGAGAGAGATGCTCTGTAAAACTAGTAACAAATAGGCTGCAATGAAACGCCCCCTGCTGGTACCCTAGAACCTTTGCAGTCTGTTTTGATTGGCTCCTTGCCTCATCCTGTGTGTGCCTGAATGGATGTGTGTGTGTGTGTGTGTGTGCATGCGTGTGTGAGAGAGAGAGAGAGCGTGAGAGAGAGAGAGAAAGAGAGAGAGATAAAGAGAGAGAGCATTGAATCTTAGAGAGTAGAATGGAAAACAAAGATTTGTTTACAGTTTTTTTTAAAGCAGTGGACCCATAGTGATGTGAAAGATGTTTTCTATGTTTATTTTCAACACGATAAAAGCATAGAGCTAGTAACAAGTAATAAATAGACACTTTAACTCAGTAATAATACAACTAGAAATATTAGCCTTATCAAACCATTCTCTACAATCAATCATTCATTTTCTTGTCGGCTTAGTCCCTTTATTAATCCGGGGTCGCCACAGCGGAATGAACCGCCAACTTATCCAGCAAGTTTTTACGCAGCGGATGCCCTTCCAGCCTTCCAGCCCTTCCTTTCCCATCTCTGGGAAACATCCACACACACATTCACACACACACACACACACACTACGGACAATTTAGCCTACCCAATTCACCTGTACCACATGTCTTTGGACTGTGGGGGAAACTGGAGCACCCGGAGGAAACCCACGCAAAGGCAGGGAGAACATGCAAACTCCACACAGAAACGCCATCTGAGCCAAGGTTCGAACCAGCGACCCAGCGACCTTCTTGCTGTGAGGTGACAGCACTACCTACTGCTCCACTGCCTTGTCTTCCAATCAATCAGTACATAATAAAAATGTTAAATAGAGTATGCTTTGTACACACTTTTGTGTGTAAAAGAGTGCTGGTAAGAATGAACAGAATTAATCAGAATCCACAACTACTTCAGAGAACTTGAATATTCTACTGCAAATTAACTGGATTATTTGCTTTTAAGCAGAATGTTATAGTCCTACTTGTTTGAGCAATAATACTGCATAAATGTTATTATAATTACATAATTATATGCTTGTTTTTTATGTTGTATATTTGTGCTTTGAACCTTTTTGAATTCTTGGAAGCTATGGAAATGAAATGTATAATGCAGGAAATACATTAGGACCATTGTTATTGCTTACATTTCTCAAAATCGTACATAGAAATAGATTTATTTTTGCATGTTTAGGCTAAGGAGTAAGGTCACTTTGTTAATCCCCATGGGAGTACTTAATTTAAGCCATATTTTATTAGATCCTATTCCGGGAAATATCATGTTAATATTCATGTTTTGTGTTCTGTTACTTGTTTTAATTACATTTACATTTACATTTAGTCATTTAGCAGACGCTTTTATCCAAAGCGACTTACAAATGAGGACAAGGAAGCAATTTACACAACTATAAGAGCAACAATGAATAAGTGCTATAGTCAAGTTTCAGGTCTGTAAAGTCTAAGAAGGAAAGTATTAGTAGTATTAGTATTTTTATAGTTTTTTTTTTTTTTTTTGGGGAACAGTTAGTGTGATATTCAGAGAGGCAATTGCAGATTAGGAAGTTAAGTGGAGACTTAATAGTTGAGTTTTTAGTCGTTTCTTGAAAATAGCGAGTGACTCTGCTGTTCTGATGCAGTTAGGGAGTTCATTCCACCAACTGGGCAGATTGAGCGTGAGCGAAAGTGATTTCTTTCCTCTTTGGGATGGAACCACGAGGCGACGTTCATTCACAGAACGCAAGTTTCTGGAGGGCACATAGATCTGCAGAAGTGAGAGCAGATAAGAAGGAGCAAGGCCAGAAGTCACTTTGTAGGCAAACATCAGAGCTTTGAATTTGATGCGAGCAGCAACTGGCAGCCAGTGCAAACGGACTAGCAGCGGAGTGACATGTGCTCGTTTAGGTTCATTGAAGACCACTCGTGCTGCTGCGTTCTGGAGCAGTTGAAGAGGCTTGATAGAGTTAGCTGGAAGCCCAGCTAGTAGAGAGCTGCAGTAATCCAGTTTGGAGAGAACAAGAGTTTGAACAAGGAGTTGAGCTGCATGTTCAGATAAGAAGGGTCGGATCTTTCTGATGTTATACAGTGCGAATTTGCACGATCGAGCAGTTCTAGAAATGTGGTCAGAGAAGTTTAGTTGGTCATCAATCGTTACTCCAAGGCTTTTCACCATTTTGGATGCAGTAATGGTTGCCCCATCCATCTGGATTGAAAAGTTATGGTGTAGAGTCGGGTTGGCAGAAACTACAAGCATTTCCGTTTTTGCGAGGTTCAGCTGAAGATGATGATCTTTCATTCAGTGTGAAATATCCAACAGGCAGGCTGAGATGCGAGCTGGAACTGAGGGATCATTAGGATGAAAAGAGAGGTATAGCTGGGTATCATCAGCATAGCAGTGGTAGGAGAATCCATGTCTCTGGATGACTGGTCCTAGAGATGACGTGTAGATGGAAAAGAGAAGTGGCCCAAGAACAGAGCCTTGAGGTACCCCAGTGTTTAGATGCTGTAGGTTGGACACCTCTCCGCTCCAAGACACCCTGAATGACCTGTCAGAGAGGTAAGATCTGAACCATTGTATAACAGTGCCCGCAACGCCCAGTGACTCGAGCGTAGATAGCAGGATCTGGTGGTTGACAGTGTCAAAAGCAGCTGACAAGTCCAGCAAAATGAGGACTGATGATTTTGAGTCTGCTTTAGCCAGTCTGAGATCCTCCACGACCGAGAGCAGGGCAGTCTCAGTTGAGTGGCCTTTCTTAAAGCCGGATTGCTTGTTGTCCATGAGATTGTTTTGAGTAAGAAAGTCCAGGACTTGATTGAACACTACTTTCTCCAGAATCTTGGCCATGAATGGAAGCAGGGATACTGGTCTGTAGTTTTCAAGTAGCGTATGGTCCAGGTTGGGTTTCTTTAGCAGTGGGGTTACCCTAGTCTGCTTAAATGAAGTGGGGAATAAACCAGAGTCAAGAGATGTGTTAATTATGTGAGTCAGTGTGAGTCAGATTTGTAGTATAAATAGTGTAAATAGTGCATTCAAACTGAAAACTCTAAAAAGAATAAGTTTACCTGGATGCACTTATTCAACCATTAAAAAAGAAGCATGTAATGTCTGACACTTTGCACACTCAAGAGCCGCTGCTTTGCTCATGTAGCAGAAGGGGCGGAGCATTCGGGCAGTGATGTTGGTTTACTTTATTTATTCTGGACTGCTAAAGCAAAATTATTTTACAACAGTTTGAATTTTTGCTTAGTATACAAAAACATTAGTGTTCCATTTGGGATGACACTACATACATATACTGTGCTGTTGAGTGTGTAAGTGAATAAGTACATAGTGCATACTGTATAGTGTGTCATTTGGGATGACGTTAGCGTGTGTAATTTATTTTTTTTCACTTAGAAATGAACTAAATATCAGTGGCATTAGTAAACTGAATCGTGATGCTTCATAATATATATGTTTGTAGTATGTTTGTTTTTATCCATTCACCCATAACATTGTATGGCACAAAATAATTAAAATCCGTTCCCATATTTGATGCTCTTTATTGCACCATTAATGATGTCATGTTCCAGAAATTGTGTGGTGGACGTCAGTCATGGTAACTTTTATTTCCTGGTTTTGTTCCGGAAATTATTTATTTACAAATTAAGCACAGCCTCAAAGGGGTTATGATTGAAAGTGTTATCATTCATTAATTCATTTTCTTGTCGGCTTAGTCCCTTTATTAATGTAGGGTCGCCACAGTGGA